TGCATGAATGAAAAGATATTAAATTCATTATTAATCAAGGCCGATTAAGTTAAAAATATTAAGGATCAGTTATTTGAGGCTAATTTATTCTACTAAAAAAATTAAATGTTTATAAATTATTTAAAATTATGACTTTAAATTTGGAAATTATTTAAAAGGCAGACTTCAATAAATAATAGTCTTTCTAATTGAAATAAATTTTAAATACATTTATAAATATCACGTTATTTTAAAGATGAAATTATCGTAGAATTTTATTATAACTACACTGAGAAGGGAAGTATAGTCAAAACTTCCAAAATATGGTAAAATTTTCAGTGTTCTTGGTTCTATGGAAACATCGAAAAATTCGGTAGCTTTTACCGAAGTTCTTTGATTGGCAAAATTAACAATAAAATATGGTTTTATAATATGTGATTACATTTAGTAATTTTATCATGATACCTTAGACCAGCAGCGACTTCCAATATAATTCGACTATGGAACCCTAAATGATTGAACCTCTTTTGGGCGAACCCCGGCATCATAAAAAAAAGTTCACTAGCAGCTGTTAATTTATAAAAAAAGACTACTACTTATTATGAAAATATTAAATGTAAAAAATGAAAATTATAATTATATTATTTTAAAATTAATTATAAAGTAATTATTTTAAAGTTATGAATTTTAATTAATTATAAAAAATATGAATTAATAATTATAATTATGAACTAACTTTTAAAAGTTATTTTAAAATTATGAGTTTTTCTTGATGGATGTGATAATGCTAAAAATGAATAAAAATAAGCTTATGTAATTATAGTAGCTCAAAAAGAATTTTTATAAATTTTGAGAATGGTTATCAGAAAGAAGTAAATGTTTATTCTAGAATTTTGTTATTTTATTTTAAATAGTTCAATGAGAAATACAAAAATTGCTTTTTATAAATGCATATCCTTTTCTTAATTATTATATTGTTACTAAAAAAGCTTTTTTAATCCTGCTATTTATTTTCAGCAGCATTTACTTAAATAATTTCCAATTAACAACCGAAATATGAAATAAACTATGGATAATTGATTGAATATAAACATAATTATTACTGGTTAAAATAAATCTCAACTCTCGGAACCCCTGTAATTCCTGTCACAGGGTCCCGCGGAACATCTTTTTGGAAATTCGGCTAAATTTACTTTTCGGTTTTATATATTTTACTAAATTTCAGATAATAAATATATTTTTAAAAACTAGAATTTCCGGTAAACCATTACCAAATGAGCGGAAAAAAGGGCCAAATGATTGGTTTAAATACCATACATTTTGGTTTCATTAGCCAGAATTATGCTTTTTTTTCTTTAATCATTACCATACTGCACGGTAATTTTACCAGAAATTTTTTCTCCATGTAATTAAATTTTTTATAAGATGTAAGGAAAATGCGTAACTGTAATAACTGTTAATGTTAGTTTTAATGCACGTTAAAACTATTTCAATGTTAACTGTTAATTTTAATGCACGATAATAATAAAAATCTTAAATATTTTGACGATGAGCTATCAAGGGGTGAAAACATTTCCTTTCTTCCTTCATTATCGACCTAAAAGATTTCTTAGACATCGTGCGTTCATTAATTACGAAAATTACTGTAACTTTAGCCATTCGATTAACTCGTGATTGGTTACAATTTGCAAATCCTCAAGTGATTTTAACAAAAAGGGTAAGTCCTATTTAAAAGCATTTGGCATAGTTAGAATCTCAACAAAAATGAATACTTTAATGCTTAATAATTTTAAATCTTAAATGGATCTTTATTATATTTAAAATTCATTTTTTGTTTTCAGGAATACCATGATAAAACTATGCATTTTCTTATTACTTGGAGTAATGATGTATGAAATGTGTACAAGTCTTTAATTCAAAAATTGAATAATTTGAGATGAATTATACAAAAATTATGCTCTAAGGAAAATTTACCTAATGAATGGTATATATTGCATATTATAGTTTTATTAACCAAAATTATGCTATTGTTGCTCGTTAATATTACCAGTAATTACGCATTAACATTACCAGAATTTTTTTTCTTCGCATTAAATTAGCTAGATATAGTAAAGCTTGGAAAGATTGATAAAAGCTAATTTAAGGAAAAAAAATACAAGGTAAATGTAAACTCTAAAATGATGAACTCTTTAACACCATTTGCCGTAGAGGAAAATTTGAATAGAAAGATTGAATTTGGAGAATAGAGAGACACAATTTAGCTCCTTGAAAAGTAACTTTTTGTTTATAATTGTTCCTTTGCGGAGAAGCAAACATTAACTTAGTGCAGGGAAAATCAAGGGCTTTATGATTTCTAGTTTAATCATAGCTAAAAAATTAAAATCATTGATTCTTTACGAAGGGTGGGGGAGGAATCAAAAAATCTTATATATAAATTATGCAAATTTTTCATGAAAAATAAATGAATTTATGGATTTCCTTGTTTTAATTTCGTTGTAAAAGTTATGCTAATCTATTTTATATTGTAAATAGTTCTTACACAGTACAGTTGTTAATAGTTTTAAATCGTGAATAGATTAATACGACTGGATATTGTTTTTTAATCCAGCATTAATATTTATTGTTTATTCGATGATAAACAATCCAACAATTTTTATTTTAGTTAAGAGCATCAAAGAGACAAAATTACTTGATTTTTAATTTCGAAATATTTTGTGATTGAATACTTAGTTTATGCGTTTCTTGTTCTTTTTTTTTCGCTAACAGTTTCGCTAATAATTTATTTTAGAAACTTTTCATTTTTTCTACAAAATTATAATGCATGAAACAATACGAATTTTAACAAATTTGATTTAAAATTCTAATAATTACTATTTACTGAACAATAAAACCTTAATTAAGAAAAATACAAACATAAATATCAATTGCTGAATATTTAAATAAATTAGCCTAAGTTCTACAATAGCATATTTTGAACATACTTTAATCAAATTTGCGAAATTTTTTGTTCCAAAAATGAATTCTTTTTTCTGTTTTAAAATATTTCATTCTTTTAAGAAAGTAGGTGTATCAAATTAACTTTTTTGAGTATAAAACTATAATAACTAGTATAAAGCTGTTTTTTTCAGAAATGTTTAAAAATAGAGGGGCTCTGTCTTCAAAATCAGTATTTTTGATTTTGTGTTCTCTCTATTTTAAAATGACTCCATATTTTTTATATTTTATATAACTGATATATGTTAAACAAAATAATCTCTGTTAGTCTCCGATCCCAGATCATTGAAATAAAAAGGAAAAAAATAATTGAAAACATTTAAATAGTTTAAATACCAGGCACAGAAAATTGTAAATAACAATTTTTATTTAATTATAATGAATAATTTATCTTCCTTCTTTTCGACCATGCATTCTGAGTACGGCTAATTAATTGACGATTGAAATATTTCAGTAATTTTAAAAAACCTTAGATATAAAATGCATGATTTGATGCATTTCAAAGTCCACCATTTTTTGTTTAACTTTCCTCCTTTTTCACTAAAAGTAGCACTTATGAAAACTGTGAAATTTTTGCATTTCATCTATCAAAGATAGAACAATAATAATCGCTTAATTTTATCCTACAATTTATGTGAAAGAATCATTAAAAATTATTGATATTTACTGACTGAATGTTGCTTCTGGTACAACATTTTCAAGTGTCGTTCTTATTGAAATGCAAATTCACAATGAGATCATATAGCACAATAAAAATGAACCTAATTCATTGTGATTTGATAAATTATGTGAAAGAATCATAAAACTTATTGATATTTACTGACTAAATGTTGCTTCTGGTACAAGTTTTTCAACTATCGTTCTCATTAAATTCAAATTCACAGTGAAATCTTATGAGAAGCACAATAAAAAATAAATGTAGTTCATTGCGATTTGAAATATTTTAATTTTGAGAAGTCTTATCTTCTGAAGTAGATAAATGTTATAACAAATTCTATGCTTGAGTTATTATCAATTTTGCAAATACATTTCTAACAAATGAGAATATAATTCGAGAACCTTAATAAAATTAACAGAAAATGATTGCATTTGATTATGATATTCGTATTTTTTCAAATTATTATGTTACAAGATTACTTAATATGTCAAAAAGGACGTTTAGTAACGTTGCCCTTCTAAGCAAGTATATTTTTTGCTTACAAAACGTGAATATATAGTGACGATCTTAATTTATTTAATGTAATTTAGTGTGTTATGCAAAACTCTAGTTTTCCGAAATCTAAAAAAAAGTTAACCAAAGGAATATAAGTAGTCAAAGCAATAACTTTGGTAGCAGCTGAATCAAAATTGATTAACCGTAAAGTAATATTAAAAAGAGATTTTCCGAGTCATTTACCCTCAATATTTTTCTTCCAGGAATCTCTCTCCAAAGTTCATGTCTTTCGCGCTATCAGTTTCAAATAAATACGTACTACATCAAAACATTGTATTACATCAAATCACGTTTATGAAGATTTAAAAAAATATTAGCAATCTTTTAGTTATTAGTAAATTATTTATAAGTATAAAAGACCATTTTTTTTAATATTGACAATAAGGTTTTCCATTAAAAATATTTAAATTGAATTAAAAAATGTATAAATTCCTACTGATAAAACTGTTCAATGATGGAAATATTTATTCGCAATAATTTTGTGTTTCGACTCATACATCGTCCGACTGTATTTCTTGAACATCAATATTTAAATTTTAAATTAATATTTCAATCAGTTGGCATAAAACACATGTACTTTAATTAAGTGAAAATAGGTCATAGTTTTTTTCTAAAAAGAACACTCATATACATAAAATTTCATTCACAGGTCATAAAATTCCTTCAATGTCAAAAAGGTGAACTCATGACTCCAAAAGAAAACAATAAATAAAACTTATGATAAATAGCGTCTTAAATGTTTCTTGGTTGATGACGAATATAGAAAAAATTAAAATGCACTAAATAAATATGCAAATAAAGTATAGACTCTTACCTTTAGCGAAAGTCTAAACACGCTTAATTTTGATGCTGGAATCGAGCACTTTTTCCCCGGACTTTTCGGCAACCTTTTACCCGTTAGGTTGACCGTTTCTATGAATGTTCGATGAATCCGAAAGGTTTAGCCTTTGGGTCCACGATCCCGATTGCTCATGCGCATTGCCTCCGCCCTGCATCCAGAAGGTTGCCATGGTAACGGAATCAACATTTTACACAATTTTCACAGTAGTCGAATAGGTGCTTAAAATATAAGTTATGACTACTGCCGAGTTTTCCTGTCGCCGAGGTGCTACATATTTTTTTCTAATAATTTATTGTCTAAGTTTTATTGTGATACAAGTGCCAATTTATACTTGACTTAAACATTGTTTGATGAATTCAGTAAAAGAAGATAATTCCAAGAATATATCGAGGGAATCTTGAAAAGAGGGTCTGACTGACAAAAGATGGGACTCTAGGCTCTCTATAATCAGAGAAGCCCCGATTATATATAAGATCTTTATAGTTTTTTAAAAAATTTTATTGTATTTCCCTAAAATAAAACCTAATCCTTTTTCTTGTATAAATTATTATTTATTTACTGTACTCGATAATAATATTTACCTAATTAGAAAATTTTTACAATTTAAAATGAAGAAAAATTAAAATTTACTTTTGATTCAATAATTCCCATTGTTAAATAAACGCACTCATGCAACAGCCAATTTGTCTGCCGATGTGGCCATAGAATTAAAGGCACTACAATTTCGAAACCAAGGCATTACGGCAGCTGCAGTGGGATCAGCATTGCGCACCAACCACTTTTACATCTCCGATGAACTGGCACCCATCAATCTGAAGCTAGGTGGGCTTCAAGCCTTCACTGGGGATAGAATTTGTTTCTTCCCAATGATATTTCAATGCCTTAATCACTGTGCCATCATGGCATTCTATTATTATGCATATTATGAGGTTTTGAAATTTTAGTCATCTCAATGTATCTCCTTGTCACTTTAGATCTTCCTTCCCCTTTTTCTCAATGATATACTATTTTAATTTCTTATTACATTAAATATGCTTCCAGTACATTCCATTCTTTTTAGGGACCGGTAATAAGTTACAAACGAAAAATAATATTTTTGATCACGCTATACCAGATAAATGTAGCAATTAACTTGTAATTTTTCTATTATTTCAGTTATTATAAAAACTGTAACTGAACAAAATTTCTTATACCTAAATTAAATATTGATGGAAGTATGGACATCTTTATAAAAAGCTAATTTTTTTGTTATTACTTTTAAAATATTCAATAAAATTAAACAAAATTTTTCGAGCAATTTAAAATGGTTTACAAAATTATTTCTTTAAAATTTAAAAACTATTTGTTGGAAACTGTGCAATATATAAGTAATTAAAGTAGTTATTTTATACTGCGCATGCGTGGATAAAATGAAACATTTCTTTCCTAATTTTATAGTGAACAGTATTTGGCAACTAGTGAAAAAAGTCTAATTTAGATATCCTAAGAATTTTAAAAAGTTTCAAGCAATTTTCTAAGCTATTTGTGTACTTTTTTTAAAAAAAAAACTCAAAATGATAAAGGGTTTTCTAAAAATATTGTATCATAAGACAAAATTGAACAACGAATGATAATGAACGTTCATACACCAGAATATGATTGTATAAGGAAAGAAAATATGCGAAAAAATATATACTTTTAAGGGGATGATCCCCAACAATGCTGATGTCATTTTTAATAAATCTTGTTTATCAGTACAAAATGAAATTTGTAGAAAATCCTTTATCATTTCGTGTTTTCTTTTAAAAATTACGAAAGATACTTAGAAAATTGCTTGAAACTTTTTAAATTTTCAAGACATTCAAATCGAATTTTTTTTTATTAGTTGCCAAATACAATTCATTACAAAAGGAACAAAATAAGTTTCAAAATTTTTCCATACAATCATTTAACATACGCAATATTAAATAACTACTTTAATTACTCGTATCTTGCCAGAGTTAAGCAGATTTTTCTCAAATTGTAAAGCAATAATTTTGTAATTAATTTTAAATTGCTTCAAAATTTTTTTTTAACTTTATCGAATATTTGTAAATTTATAGCAATAAAACGCAAAACGAAAAAATTAGCTTTTTTTTTAATAAAAAGTCCATATTTTCAAAATTGTTTAAGCTAGGTTTATGAAATTTTGGGCAATTATTTCATATAATAACCAAAATAATTGTTACAAACTTATTGCGACATTCTTTAACATATGGTAACCAGAAACATTATTTTCCGTTTGTAATTTATTGTCGGTCCCTCAGACGTTTAAAAGCTTTAAACTTTTTAAGCCTGTATATATTTATATATTAAAAGTTTATCAAACATACATAAGTTTTATTAAAATAGCAATAAAAACAAAATAATATGCATTAAGTTATGCTTTGAAAAAAAAATTTTTATAGTTCGCATTCAACCTTATCATTGAAGAGATTCAATCTTACTGAATATCTGAAATTAAGAAAAACTAATTTTTTTACTAAAATGCTATATTTTTAATTGCTCTTATTGATTTTCGTTAAGATTTTTGCATTTATTAGTTTAGTTTTATTGATTTCATTTAATGAATCGACTATTGTTGACTAAGTTACATATAGTTATAGCTATGTCTGGAGCAACTGCAATTAACCTAAATTTACAAAGTCAAAAACTTTGCCTTTTAAACCTATTTCAAATTTTGAAACTACATAAGTAGGAAAGTATATGAAAGAAAACTCCTAGTAGGAATGAATTTCTATTGCATTTAAAAAATTCTTAAGCAGAGGGAGAAGAAATCGATACACGCCGTTTGTAAATGCAAATTAACAACACTATTAATCAGATTGGATTAATTGTGCTGCGGTTCATTTATTTCCCTTTTTCCCTGTGTACCCTTAACAAGGCGGATGAATTTTTTTTTTACTATGGCTTTCTTTTTTTAAGTATTAATTCAAAGTTCCCTAACTTAATCAATAAATTTAGGTGAGGTATTTATGCTTAATGATTATCAATTTTTAACATTATCTAATGTCTCTTAAATCCTAAAAGAATTTGAATGAACAACAGATTTGCACAACCGTGAGAGAGATCCTTATTAAAGAGAACCTTCTTACCTTCCGATTAAAAAACTTTGGTGCTATTTAATGACCTTTATTTACATTCACGTAATTGAATACAGCAGCATCAGATATTACACAGTAAAAAATTCTGAATCAAATTACGTTAAAAGGTACCGGCACTCAGAATGTCTGTTCTTTTCACCGTAAAATCAATTTCTACTGTTCAATTTCACTGAACAAAAAATTTTATGTACCGTAAATTTTACAGTAATATTAATTGTAAGATCGCTGAATCACTTAGGTTAAACAATTATTACTGTAAAATTCACGGGATAAAATGTTAAAGTAAAAATGGATTTTGCAGTAAAATTAATTTCACGGATGTTGCCTGTACTGTAGTGGTACTTTTTACAGTAATTTGTTCTGAAATTTTTTAAAGTGTACATTGTTGTAAAAATTCAAAATAAAATTTACTGGTGTACTTTATTTTGAATTTTTGTAATGATGGTAAAGGGAATTTACCTTTGAAAACTCTAATATAGGTGAATATCCAATCACCATTCAGACTGATTTCTGTCATTAATACCATCATTTTCATTCTACACCGACGATATTAATCTGTGAATGTTGCATTAAAAATAAGTCCCTTTAATTTCTTATAACAATCTTTCCATTAGTACCTGATGTATTTTGGCTCTTTGCAGTCGTAAGTGAGAAATATGGGTTAAACGAAAATATTTTCAACAGTTACCATCTGTGGATGTTGTGTTTTGATATTAGCAGATGTACGAAAGATAAGATACAATTTAATAAATGTTTTCGAACGTTCAAGTTCAAAGGATATTGATATTCACAAGTTTCGATCATTCGTATTAACATATTATATTCCATTTTTAATTCTGTATTCTATTCTCAACACGATATTCAACGAAAAAAAATCACTGTGTAGTTTTTCTTATTTACTAATGAACGTAATGATATTAAACTATTTAAAATCAGATAAAGATATAATTTCCTGAACTTTCGTATTGATTCCTAATTCCCATTGTTTCGTAACTATTCCTAATTCCCATTGTTTCTCTAAAGAGGGTGAATCCACTTTTAAAAAAATACATCTGAACATTCACTAAAGCAACGCAGACGTGAATATCAACATTCATCGGAGGATGACGACATTCACTAATTTTGGTCTTTCACAGTTACATATTCATCTATTTTTATCGTAGAAGGTATTAAAAACATTAAATACTAATTGATTTCTCTTACTTGCTACATAACATATAACATAATCATATTAAATTATTTTTTTAACTCAGATAAAGGCGTAATTTTCTGAACTTTCGTATTGATTTACTTAAAGCAGCCGAATTCCCCTTAAATTTCCGAACATTCAAAGGCAACTTCAAACGGGAATATCAAGATACAATTGCAAGGATGAAAGGATCGAATGCATATGCAATTAATTTCACCAAAGGAGATACTAAATATATATAACACTGAGTGATTTCTTTTGTTTATTGCATAACATAATGATACATTTTTGCATAAAGATACAACTGTTTTTTTCTTCTTAAATCCAGACAAAGATAAAATTTTCAGGACTTTCGTATTGATTTCCTACCTCATTTTATTTCTTTAAAGTTATCAAATTCACTTTAAAGAAATATTTTCGAACATTCTATATGAATATTAACAGTCACCAGAGGATGTTGACATTCACTAATTTTGGCCACTCACGGTAGCATATGTAATATTCTCACTAAAGAATCATTATTTGGTTTTCCTTTTTATCCTAACGAGCATAATGATATCAAATTATTATTCAATTCTGATAAAGATTCAGATTTCCAGAACTGTAGTTCCAATATCCTATCTCATTTTGATTCTTTAAAGTGACCTTTCGTGCAGTGTTACTGGAAACTCTACAAGAGAACAACACCGAAAACGTGATAGATATCGTGTGGGAAACACAGGAATCGAATGCATAAATCAATCCAAACTCATTACAATTATGAGAATTTAATCAGAACTTATTTTGTTGGCTTAGGGTGTATGCCTTTTTTAT